AAAATAAAATGAGTTCATGGAAATTAACTCCCCGTAGCCCTGGAAATTTTATAGGATTCAGTGAACTAGTCTCACAGTTCAGGAGAGATGATAAATTTCAGAAGGAATTAAGATAAAGTGACAACTTTTTAGCAGAAGAACCATTTTTAATCCCAGTAATAAACAGATGCTCAAAAGGTTTTCATAAATCTGTTCAGCAAGAAAATAGAAATTAATCTCTCTCAACACACTTGCTGCCCAGAACGTTTATCGGGACCAAAACCTGTGCTAAAAATATTACAGGATTCGAGAGAAGATGGAAACAGGCTAGTTGCTCACTTGGCTGATAACAAATGAAATCTCCTTGAAGAGATTATCTGAAATGTGACTTCTCGGGACATACACAGCAAGATGCCTTGGCGGAGATTCAGCTCACCCAAAAAAATAGGCTCCTATGCCCTTTGTGACTCTAGACTAAGGCGATGTCAGTATCTTCACCGCAAGCACATTTGGATGAGGTTCATCATTTTTATAATTCACCCATAAAGATCTATCTGTATTTGAGCACCAGGGCTGAGTCTAGAGACCATTCTTCTTTATAAAATAAAACAACACTTTTAAAACCCAACAAACAATATTGTTATGTAGGATCATATGCTTAAAACGGTTAAAATAAGACAGTATTATTTGTGTGAATTGACATCCCTTTGTTTATGAACATATAGAAAGGAGAAGCAGCCTGTTCCTACTATTCAGAGAGTATATTCAAATGTACCATGGAAAGTAGCACCAAGAGCAGAGAAAGTTCTGATTCTTCAGTGGTTACCTTGTTCATGTATGTTGACTGAATAAGAGATTTGTGTCTCTCACTGTTTATTGAATAGAAGGAATCCAAGACAGGAAGCAAAAAACTGCCAATGGGAGAGAACATCAGAAAAAGATGGCAAGTGGGGGACGTACATGACATGTGGAGAGGAAAAGAGAGTTAAAGTAAAATCCAGGAATGACATTGACTCCAATGTAAGTTAAGCATTAGTACAGCTCAGTCCTTCTGTATGTATCTACAAAGCAAAACACAGAGCAAGTATATATGGTGGAAAAATCCAATCTGGAAAACTGAACCTATGGAGGAGAACTGGTATATCTTTGGTCTGTAGCGAGAGGCACAGGGGCCGTATGTCTGCATCTTGGCCCCAATTCAGTACAGCATTTAAGCACATGTGTAAGTACATGTGTAGTCAGCAAAGCACTTGAGCACATACAAAAATCTCATTGAAGTCAATGGAATTTAAACATGTGCTTAAAGTTAAACATGTGCTTTAGTACCTGACTGAACAGGGCTGGACTGCTGAACTGGGGCTCCTGAGAGAATTGTGTGGACACCTGAGTGGCAGTCAGGTATCTGTAAGGACTAGTGTCCTGGTACAGTATGGGGGCGGATCCAATTCCAGCTGCTGGATCCAAAACCAGAGGGTGAGGGGCCTATGGGAAGACCAAGCTGAGAACTAGAGTGAAAAGAAAGGATGACAGCCTTCTTTCTCCATTTGCCCTGCAAATATGGAAAAGTTCATCTGGAAAGATTAAGGGCCATATTTTCAATAGCTTCCCTTTTGCAGGTGCAACTTGTCCCTCTAACATTTTGCATTCACAATCAAATTGCAGAATTGGAGTATTGTTTGCCTCTATAAGCACAAATCAGGAAGTTAGTGGTGAAAACTTGCACCCTTAATTTCTGTGTTTAGCTGTTGGGGAAATGTAGGAGCAGATTGCATTGATTCTTTTCAAAGTTAGCCCCTAAATATCACCAGCACAAAAAGAGTTACACACACACACAAATATGTTCCTAGCTGTAACACATCAAGCTAGAACGGAAGTGAACTCCAATAAAAAGATGGCAAGGTGCCAAAGCTATAGTCATTTGAATTCCTACTGGTAGCCCTGTGAGGTGGTGGTAGGGTGGGGGGAAATTGCGCAAATTAACCCTTATACAAAAAAGAGGTGCTTGTGGAAATAATTATCGTTAACAAATAAACTTCTTTAATATGTTTCAATACGAGGCTGTCTAGTTAAATCTTTAACTTCTGTACTTAAACAATTAGGCCAAACCATGTGTACTTAGAGCTGACCTAATAATGCCGTCTGAGTACAGAATGTGAACTGACCCACAACTTGCAGTGCAGCTGATTTTAGAGTCCAGTGTTTTGTTATAATGTGTGGCTGATTTACTCATTGGGGTTCTGATCCTGTTCCCACTGAAGACAAGGGCAAAACTCCCATTGATTTCAAGGGAAACAGGATCTTCCTGGATTTCTTGGTATCTAATAAAAATAGATTTGTGCAGTATGAGCAGAGTCCTCTGTCTTATGTTATTATCGATGGCTATAATCAGTTTGGTCTTTACTATTAAAAGGTCAGCTAGTTTATTAAGACTTTAACATCATTTTCAATAAGATCTGACGCAGTTGATGACCCTGACATGATATAGGACAAAATCAATATACCCTTTTATAATTTCAAGGTAAAAACAAGGACTTCAAAAGGCAGTAACTTTAGATTCAACTTACTGTAACAGGTGCAGAGGTCTGTATTTTGTTTTCCACTCCCCTAAGTTAAAACAACAAAATGCAATTTTTTATAGAAAGTAGAGCTGATTGAAAAATAGGAACCTATTTTTGTGACAACTAAAATTTTAAAGTGTTCAAAATAAACCTGCTGTTTTTCAAAAAAAAAAAAAAATCCAAAACTTTTATCCCACTTTTATTGTGTTTAAACCGAGTTTCTCGTAAACAAAAAATTTCAGAAACTATTTACAAAATGTTTTTGGTTAAGTGTTTGCCTTTTTTATTTTTCCCCATAAATTATCTGTTGGCAACACCATCAACTTGTTGTAAAAAATTGCCAGTTTGAAAGGTATTTTTGATAAAAAGCTGTTTGAACAATTTTCACCCATTCTAGTCCTAAGTTGTTGGCTGATGTCTAAGTACAATATTAAAGTTTGATTGTGCTGTTCTTCGGGAAGGTTCTTGGTTCGTTGACTGAGCTCAGGGGAACTCCTTGAGGAAGTTTGTTCTAATCTTAAACAGTCTCCCAAGGAAAGTGGTGGGTGTTCTGTAGACTATTCAACTCTGTGGAGAATTCTCCACATACACAGCTAGAAAACAGGGATGGGTGGCCGGAATCAAGATTCACTTTCTCTTCTTCCCACACCCCCTTCCAAGTTTTTACAACTTCATTCCCCCCCACTCTCCCAAATCATTACCAAAGTGGGAAACATGTTTGGGACCTTTCCTGTTCTTTCTGTGCTCCTGTAAAGAGGGCTGTCACAGTAGCTGTCACAGCCGCGCTAAACACCTGGAGAAAAGAACAACAGTGAAAGGTCAGGTTTCAGAGTAGCAGCCGTGTTAGTCCGTATTCGCAAAAAAAAAAGGAGTACTTGTGGCACCTTAGAGACTAATCAATTTATTTGAGCATAAGCTTTCGTGAGCTACAGCTCACTTCAGGAAAGCTTCAAAGCAGGGAGAAGGGAGGGCCTCAGCAAGCGGGTATGAGAAGGTGTTGGGGAAAGAGACAGGAAAACGTCAGTGATCCAAAGGAGAGTATGAGAAGAGAAACCTACCAGCAGCCAGGAGACCTGAACCCCCTTTTGTCTCTCAGAATCTGTGAAGGAAAAACAGAATTTCGAGAGAATGGGAGAGACGTGGGAAGTGCCGGATGCGTGTTATTGCATGGCAGAGATGGATGCCACTCTTTGTTCCATTGCGGAGCTGATGTTGAAACTATCATGCCATATCTGCCAATGGCTGCTTCTATCTGAAGCCTTCCCAGGGCTCAGGATACCATCTGTACTTTCAGAGAGTTAGTAGGTGGTGGCAGTAAGACAGAGAGAGACCTCTAGTAATGAAATAAGTGTTTAAAAACCTCTTTCTCCATATTCTACTTACATTGACAGGTCAGGCAGCTCAAGAATGAGTTCAATTAAGCAAATAGCTTTCCAGGATATAAATGGATTGATAAAGAATAATTCTATTAAAATGTTTCAAATTCCTTTCAAGTCTCAAATGGGGATTGCAATAGTAGAGGGATTTGAATGACAAATAAATTAGTTGCAAACTTTTATTCCTGATCTTGTGCGCTTCATGTGTGCACGCACTGTTTACATACATGTAGTATGTACATGCATAGGGGACTGCATTGTGTGCAGTAAGCTCAAGGATTGTAGTTATACCTGGCTTCTACGCAGGGGGACAAGGGGTAGGAGGCTCTTTGCTCCCTCAGGCATTCAGAACACACATAGTCTAGACCATCATTCTTATGAAAAGAACGTTTTACAAAATGTAAGACTAGAAATGTGTCCATTGGTTTTTATTTTTATTTTTTAAAATCCATTAAAAGCTGTTATTGCTAAACAAGTAGGAACATAGGAATTGCCAGACAAGACTGGAGGAATGATCCAGTAGTCTAATATCCCATCTGAGAATGGCCAGCACTAAATACATTAGAGAAAGGTGCAAGAATTCCTGTAATGGGCACTTGAGGAGTAACGTGACCAGAACGGGAAGCTGCTTATATAGTCACACTCTGGCAAATCTCACAAAAGTTCAAATTGAGAAGAAAGTCCCAGAGATAGTAATGGGTGCCTTATAAATGCTTATAATTATTAATAATATCACAGCTCCTTCCAGACTTGGCAGCCGAGGGACCTCTAACCACTGAGCCTGTATTATGTGTATCCAGATTGTATTATGTCTGGCTCCGCTGTAAGAACTTATTAAAGGCTTGAAACCATGAAAGACTGTTAATAGCTAGCTGGAGGGTGGTTTATCAGAAGTGTAGGTATTAAGCAGAGATGGGATTGAGCTATAAAGTTGAGATCTGGATCAGAACTTTCCCAAAGTTTGTGAGCATTTGTTCCATCTCTAATGATAAACCTAGGAAAATTCTACATAAGTCCTTTATTTTTCCTTTACATTAAACACTCGTTTTTCTGCTTTCTCCCTTTACTTGCATCTTCCGTCTGACAGCAATGTGGATACAAAGGAGTTGTGTGGTAAGTACCCTTTCGCTACCTCGATAAAAGCAAATTTTAATGTAGACTTTTCTTAACTTTATTTTTAACAAGGCTCACACATACTTCACTCCAATACAGAATGGGGCCAAGATTTTAAAAAGCGGGATTAAAGTTAGGCGCATGAATAAGTAATGGGATTCAAATAGGCTCAGGAATTGCACTTTCTGTTGACTTCAGTAGAAAAAATTGGGTGCTTGGCAATCAGGTTGATTAGGGGGATGAACTTTAGGTTTTTAAAATCTTGGTGTAAGTGAATTAAAGAGTGGGGCATGAAATGGGGTGGAATATAGTCAATCATGCCCCCTTTTAAATCACTCTCTATCTTTCATACAGCAATATTCACTTCAATCTTGGATCCCTTCCAATGAAAGTAATTACTCGCCCTAGCCCTTGTGCTTTAGCATAGTTTATGGTTAACGTCACTACGCAAAGTTTCCCATTACCGCAGAGGCTCTTGATAAACTGGTTCCTCAGGTATCAAAGGAGCCTCAAATAATGGAGGGGCTGGGGCCATTCTAAACTGACTAATCAACTGGACGGACCTTGCACTCCAAAGGGAGACTTTAGGTAACCGAATACATTGGTTCAGGGCTGAATCGGGGCTCTGCACAGGGATTGGTTGCTGCCACCCTTCTTTGATCATAGCATAATAAAATGTCCCCCCACTCTTCTCACTAGAGCCTCATGTTAGTTGATCAGGATTCCACAATCTCTATCAGCCTATGCATTGGAGATGTCATTAATAAACTGGAATCAGGGGTTGTGTAGAATGTGTCTTGCCGTTCCTGAGCTGTGAATTCTTAGAACATATTGTACTGGCTTTCTTGTTCAGCAATGACGCTGGGAAAGTTTTACGCAGTTTCACAATATAGTTAATGAGCACAGAACTGTACCCAAAAATAAACAGATAACATTCAGTAATGTGTGGTTAATTTCAGGCAATGCCTCATCTGCAGGCTTCAATAAAACAGCATTACTTTATAGTACCAATTACATATTTGTCTTTAGGCAAAGCTTAATGTTTTACAGCGGGTAGCCTACAGTACATATAATCACCAGAGCGGCCCCCACTGTTCATAGAAATTAGAGGTAGAAAATATCTATAAGGACATTTTATCCAACTCCCCAGCTAGAATAGAGTGGGATTATTTCCTACAGTGAATTCTCAAGTGCTTTGTCTAGATTTTAAATGACTCATGTAGCGGGGCTTTTGCTACTTCCCTTGGGGAGATTATTCCTCAGTCTAATAGACCCCTTGCTGTTAGGAATTTTTTTCTGCTGTTCAGCCTGGAGACGTCAGAAGAAGTTTGCTTTTTTGTTTTCCAATACCTTGTCAGCTGCATTCCCCGTACCTCCTTCAAGATGGCACAAAGGAACAATTACATTAAAAAAGGAGCCATGTAGAACAACCTTCACAATGCATCCGTGGCTTTAGCATTATAGCGTTCACAGATCCCTCCAAAGACAGCAATTGTGTAATTAAAAATCCAGCATCTAGACTCTAATCAGACTCCGGCAATCAGTGCTGTGCTCTCCGGTGGGTTTGAGCTGATCTTATGGAAGTTAGTTTTTATTTTGAACAGTGTTAAAGACTTGTGTGTCCTTATTAGAGTGCCAGGCCTTGTCGACCGAAGAAATTGCAATAGGCTGGGTGGGTGCTAATTTCAGTTGAAAAATGGCTTATTTTGGTTGAGTTTAAATCAGTTCCTAATTCATTTGTACTACACTTAAATAAGACACTTTTCAACTGCAGTTAGTATCTGCAAAGCCTTTTGCAACAGTTTAAAACTAAATCAGTTTAAAATCACACCTTAAATTAGAATGGTGCAACCTTTTCGTGTCGACAATCCCATGCTTGTAATCAGACTAGGATACCTTTGGAAAAAACCTTGAGCTGCTTGTTAGGCATGGTTTATTATTTAGCAAAGTGGGGTAGACTGAGACGAACCCATCATTCTGGCATGGAGTTCAATAGGGGGAGTCATACTAAAGACAATTAATCAGATTTTGTTTCCTAACTTACTTTGAGCCAATTCCTAGGTGCACTGAAGTTAGCTTGTCCCATTCATTGAAACTGACATGAGAAATTGAGTCTAGAATGATATCTCTTGTGTTTGCCAATTATGTGTTTTTCCACTCCACCTTCCTTGTTTAATTGGTCTTCCTTGTTTCCCACCCCGTTAAACTAGTAACAGCAGATCACATTATAAACTTAGATTGAAAATAGAGGTAAAGCAGCATTGTTTGATGAGACCTTTCTTTCTCTGACAATCCTATAAAACAGAAAATTATACAGCTGTTGCCCAGGGTGAGATCACATTACCAGGGAATGGAGAGTATATGTGGGTTTGATCAACAATCCCTGTAATTAAGCTATTTGGAAAAAAGAGTTGTAAGTGTCTGTTTGTTTGGGGGTAGTAACATATGTTCTGATGAAGATGGTTTTGCAGCATTTTGCTGGGCAAACTGATGAGCAGATTTTATGAATAGAAATAAAATCTCATTTGTCCTACATTAATATACACAGTGTTCTTACCTGTTCAGATACAGGTGGATCGTGATGTTGCAGCAAGCTTGTGTTTTGTGTAGTCTTGGTTCATTGGATGGCCATGCTTTGTCTAACTCACTGGAAACAATTATTTAGTTTTAAATTATTCTGTTTTTAAAGGAGTAGGAGGGTGGGGAAGGAACAACCATGTGAAATGTACAATAGGATTTCCTCTTGTGAATAACTCCATTGCAAGGGTGCCAATTAAGAGGGGGTGGAAGCCTCCCCTCCCCCAGTTTCATACCGGGAGGTGTGCAAGCTCCCAGGTGGAGCCCTTAACTACAGCACAGCATTACCGTGAAATGTAAGTTCTGCAGAGGGGAGGTGCCTCTGGGCAGGGAGTCAGGATTTTGTTTACAAACAGAGGCAGGGTGATTAAGAGAAGAAAGGGCTAGTGATTAAATTAAGGATATGGAAGTTTAGCCTGTGAAAAAGGAATGGGGGGCAGGGGAGGGATGGAGGAAGGAAGGAGGGAACACAGTGGACTCCGAAAAAATACAGAAAAGCACTGAGCCAAATTCAGAAAAGGGGGAGATTTGGAGGCATAGGTGGAAAGAAGGAGCCAAACCCAGGGAAGGGCTAGCAGTGTATAGAGAAGTTCCCACTACCTGTGGTACTTATGTGGCCCTATCACCATAGTATCCGAGGCTGCACCTCACAATGTCTAACGTATTTCTTCCCCCAGCCCCTCGGTGAGGTAGAGCAGAGCTATTATCCCCATTTTACAGATGGGGCACTGAGGCACACACAGACTAAAGGCCAGATTTTCAAAGGTATTTAGGCACCACTGAGATTTTCAAATGCACCTAGAAGGTTAGGTGCTTTGTAAACCCTATTAGATGCCTCACTGCATCTTTGGGTACCTAAAAACCTTTGCAATTCTGTCCTTAAAGCACTGGCCTGGGGTCAGAGAGGAAGTCCATGGGGGGAGTGGAACCCAGGTCTTTCAGGGCTAGCTCCCTATCCAGCAGACCAGCCTCTCTCTCTGCTGCATGCTGAAAAAAAAAAGAAAAAGAGAGGATTCTGATAGATGGGAGCAAAACCAAGGCAGCTGGTTCTCTGAGACTCCAGCAAACGGTTCCAGGATGGATGAAAAGCATGAAAAGCAGCCCTGTAGTTAGGAAAGAGGTTGGAGAATGAGAGTCAGATGAGAGGAGATCACTTAACTCCCACGGGGTGGTAGGTTCTGCCCCAGGCTGGGTTGTACAGCAATGGCTGCTGGGCAGTTTTACATTTTAACTGAAAACCATTTTGTTCGGTCATTTTTTCTTCTGAGTTTGAGAAACGGAAGGAATGAGAAAGTGTCGTATAATTATCCGATGCGTTTATACCTCAAATTCTTAGGGTTTCAGCCGCATTCAGGCCAATTCCAGAACAAAGAACAGAAACTGCATCCACAGAGTCCATAAAGTCGACGATTATTGTCATGATTTTCATTATTCATGGGCACCACCTGTGTGCTCAGCACTGTTCAGAATATGCCAGAAAATCCAGTCCCCAAGGTAAGGCATACAATATGTGTAACTCTGGATAAGATGGCTCAAATATTTAAGTATGAAGTGTATATTTATTGACCACTCGTTATCACATGTTCACTGTGATGTTTATATCTATGAGTGGAGGCAACTGATAGCAATAGAAGTTTTACTTAAGGACTAGAAGATTTGACCCTCCAACTTTCTTTCTAAAGGAAGAGCTGCACACCCATCCTTGAGCCCCCTCCCGGAGACAGCACCCCATACCCTCTTCTGCACCCCAAACCCCCTCCTGCACCCAAGCCTCAGCCCTGACCCCCCTCCCAGAACCAGCACCCCGTACCCCCTCCTGAACCCCAACACTCTGCCCCAGCCCTGACCCCCCGTCCCAGAGGCAGCACCCCATACCCCCTCCTGAACCCCAACACTCTGCCCCAGCCTGGAACCCCTTCCTGTACCCAAACTCCCTCCTAGAACTTACACCCCCTCCTCCACCCCAACACTCCCCAGGCTCAGCCCAGAGCCCCCTTCCACCCTGCAAATGCCTCTGCCCCAGCCCAGAGCCTGCACTCCCTCCCTCCCTCCCGAACCCAAACCCCAACCCCCTGCCCCAGCCCAGTGAAAGTGAGTGAGGGTTGGGGGAGAGCGAGCGATGGGCGGGGGGGATGGAGTGAGTGGGATGGGGCCTCGAGGAAGGGGTGGGGTAGATCCTGGGTTGCCCTTAGATTCAAAAAGTGATCTTGGATGTAAAAAGGTTGGAGACCACTGATCTAATCTGTCCTCGTGTACAGTATAAGCCACCAACACTACCCAACACCTGCACACTAACCCAACAACTGAAATGAGACCAAAGTATTACAACCCACAGGAGACTAGACTATTATATGACACAGACAGAGAATAGGAGGGACTGAGATGCACCGGAGCCTGAAGCCCCACAATGATGGGGAAATGAT